ATTGTTCAGTGGAGCAGGTTATCAAGCACACAGTCAAAAGCATTCATTAATCCAAAAGTAGGAGTCATGTATGAGGTGCCCAAATTAGTGCTGTGAAACTTCTATCCATAGCATGGGATTTCTTATCAAACCTTTATATGAAATCATATCCAGAGACTTCATGATCAGAATCTGAGAAAATATAGAAATTTGCTATGTCATATATCAAAATACACTTTTGTTTAATGCTTGATATGTTCTTATTCTCAATAAAAATTAACGAGGAAGATCAGGTCTTCAGCTATTCTGCAAATCCTCCACTCAGCATGTACGTGTTCTTGTGCTTTTTCTTGTTCCCTTTTCCTCTGTGGAATACACAAAAAGCCAAAAATGGAAAAAAAAAAAAATCTGCATCAACAAGGAGTGTATTTCTTGTTTAAGCCTATTACTGTGGTTTCTGAACAAAATACAAGGAATGTATGTGGGCTTTAATGCAATGCTTTTTAAAACCCTAGTCAGAAGCACTCTAAGAATCACAGATCTCTCTCTAGAGACTACAGCAGATTGTTCACAGTTATGCAGGAGTGTAGTGGGGATTGCAAGGAGTTGCCTTTCTTCATAACGGGGATGAGGATAATGTAGTTTAAAAACACAGACTGTATCAATGTGCTTGATATGCAGTCATCTGCCAGTCGGTAGCTTTAGCACAAATGAAGCTGAGGATGGATATTACGAGTTGTGATTGTTGTGTACCAGAGATCTTAAAAGTCTTTAATGCCATTTTGGGGGGACTCTGCCACTTTCTAGGACATCTGATCACCACTTTGTTTCTATTGAGCTGCCAAATTTATTCACTGGGGATCATAGTTTTAGTGCTAATGAATTTTAAATATATTGCATCGACTTGCAGAAGAAACAACTACCTTAGTGGTAGCTTCATTTGTATGTGTTGAACAATACTCAGTGTATAAAAAAAATCGTACATCCAAAAAACCACCCAGACTTCTAAACAACTGAAATCAATGCATAATGGTTTATAACAGTCATTACTATCACAATTACTCTAATTGTCTGTTTTCTTGTCTTAATTGGTCATGTAAAGCAAATCACAAATCTTGAGCAGTCTTTCCCAGAAGGGTCTACTATAAAATTATATGCAGCCTAAGTTACCAGGAAACATAAAAGTAATTTTTCAGAAGAGAAATCTGGCAGGTGATGGGGTACTCAGCTGGAAAAGGTCAGCAGTCAGACTTCATTTCAAACAGAGATTATATCTAGGATAAGGCTCAAGTTCAGAGGTTTGGTGAACAGGTTTTCTTCTTTTATGAGTTTTTTTCAAAACCTATAGTTAAGAGCCAAGCTAGGCATGCTTTCTGAAAAATAAAATAGCCATTATTTGCAAGAAATGAAAGCCAATAAATAAATGTGTTTTCTCTCTAAGCTAATACTTCTTCAATGCTTCCAAAACCAAAAAGAAATAAAGCTCAAAAAGATAAGTTATCCCCTCAGCAAAATTATCTCCCAAGAACCTGGCAACTTTCATGAGCTCTAACATTCAATTAACATTTTTTGCTTTGTGTGTCACGCTTCAATTAAGTAGAAAGCATATTAATCATATAGAACAGGAGTGTATTTAACATGAGATAATGTGCTGGATTTCAGGACTTTGCAACTTCAAAACCCAGAATGTGATTCAAACCGAGAATGGTCTGTAGCTTGTTTATGTCTCTGGAAAAGGAAGGGTTGGGAGTCCTCCGCAGTATATTTATCAGTTGGAAAAATTACTAGAACTGCATTTGAAGAGCTTGGAACAGTCTTTCCCGGCAAACTGTCGAATCCCTGCCTGGCACTAAAAACATTCTAGCAATAGGGCAAAAACCACAACTGGATCTCTGAGAGAGATCTAGAATGTTCACAGTATGGACTACACCTAGGAAAAAAGGTCAGATTTCCAAGATGCAGAAGGACGTGTTTGGAAAAGCACGTAGTTGCTTCACGCCTAGGTACCAGACTCCCACGCAACTGCGTATTTTTGAAAATCCCAATAGTATCTGCCTTTAAAAATCTCCCTCAGGAACCAGCAGCTTTTTCCTTACAAAGGGGAGAGAATGATGCTGTGGTGGTTTTGGCAATAGGGGAGAAGTCAAAAGCTCTGCATTTTAATTTTTGACTTGTCATTGTTTTTGACAAATCATTTACACTTGTGAGCTTCTACCTCCCATCTTAAAATAAGGACTGGCCCCACTTCCTTCACTTATAGAGGGTTTGTGAAAATAGGAAGAGCTGCAATACCAAATGCAGTTACAAAGTAAGCTCTTTGAGACAAAGGGGCATCTCTTTATTCAAAGGATCTACAGTGCACGGTGGGGCTGGCTCTCCAGCAATAATGAAGGAATGTTAAAAAGCATACACACTTACATTCTGGGCAATGCCTTCCTGAATGATAAAGCTTAATAGCTAGTCCATCCACACTGATGAATGGCACCGGTATGAAAAGATTAATTTAGATACCTTTCCAAAATATCCTGAACTTAGCCTTCCAGGCTGCCAAAATTTTACTGGAAATCTCCTGGGATTTGCAATGCCGACTGCTTCTGCCATTTCAGCACTTCCAGCCTGAGCTAAGAATTGGAACCTTAGTATGTAATAGGGTAAAAATTAATGGGATTTGTCAGAAAGTTCAAAGAAGTTTGGCTCTATAAGTAAGGAAGGATCCAAGATCGGCAAGATATATATTTTTTCTCTCGTTCAAGAAGATTCTTAATTACAAAACAAACAGAAGCAGAAAACAGAAAAAAAAAACTTTAACTTGCCATATGGTCAGGAGTAGTTGGAAAGAAAAGTAAGTTTCCTTCTCATGTTTCTACTGAAAGTTTTTATTTATTAGAGATGATTTAAACCCTAAAAATTTGAAAAGATTAGAATAGAAAACAATAGTGGTTAGATGTGTCAACTTTTCAGAAGAGACCAAAAGAAAAAGAAAAAAAAACTTTCAAGCAAAACCCAATTGCTGTAGTAAATCATTGTATGTGCTAAATAAATCAGTGTGATACTGATAAAGCTTCTTTGGCTGCTTCAAGTCACATTTCAAAAAGGTTTTTAAACTGGTGGTTACATCCCGTCTGTGATATGTAGTTGTGTAACTAATCAGGTGGGCCAAAAAAGTATCAATAAATAAATCTTTAAGAAACATAAAATGGGATTTGGCTCACAGGACAATAGGACCTGTGCAAGAAATTTCCACATTAAAAAAACATCGCTCTTTCTGAATCCTGGGGTGAAGAAACAGTTTGAAACGAAACAGACAATTCCATAATTGTAGGGGAAAATATTTATTATAAAAGAGACAAGTTCACCAAAACATCCAGTCCAAGTTTAATTTAGAAAAAAAAATCTCAGTCCCCTGCGCAAGTTTGCTAGCAGTCGTAAGCAGGAGCGTGGTGGATTCAAGGGCTTGAGGGAGATGATTTAAGCTGTCTGTGTAAGCACTGTGATTACAGATTTTGCAATCCAAAGTTATTTTTGCTTTTAATTCTACTCCAGAAGATCTGAAAGGTTAACTTTGAGCTCTTCCCACCAAAACAAGCCACTTGTAACTGCATCTGGAAAGACCACGAGTGGTGGAGATAGTTTCCTGCGTCCAGAAAGAGCCGAATGAAACATCCCAGATGGGCATCTGGGCATGGTGCTGGAAGGATTGAGCTGTCTCAGTCTGAGATAAAGCAAGATGTCTGCAGGGGAGCTCAGGTGGGAATTCAGCTCCTCGTTGGTCCAGGGCCACCCTTCAGCCACTAGGGCAATGATTTCAGGTCCAACAGGTATTTCATGCATCTTGTTTTAAAAGCTTGTCTGCAGGAGGAGGGACCACCTATCCACAAAGGATGTGCTCCTTACAGTTATCTCTTGAAGAAGAAAATGGGAAAAGGGAGCATTTGGGGAAAAAGCAGCTTCTAGAAGCGGTTGCAGATGTCCAGCAGGCAGTGTAAGGGGGCTGCATGTCACAGTGTGGTGCCTACAAGCCTCTGCCCTCCCACTGCTCCCGCAGTGCTGTGTGGCCCCTGTGGATGTGCCACTGGTACACCCAGTCAGCAGGGAGGGATATGAGGCAGAGGATCCCCTCAGCTGGGATCACACCCGAGACTCTTCTGAACTGCTAAACATCCATACAGGTAATACATACACCTTGGGTGACAGTTTGAAGCACATCAACCCTATGCTCTTGGGATTAAAAATACCACAGGTGAGCCCCTGGACCCTATCTGATTTTTTTTTTTTTCCTGATTTCAATGAGGCTGGGATTTGATTCTATAGCAGCACCCTTCCTTTGATTTATTTCAGCTTTTCTTCTTCTTCTTTCTTTTTTAAAAACATGAAAAAACTTAGGTATTACCTAACTTGACTTCTGGCTTTCCAAAGCATGAAGTTTTGCTCCAGATGCGGGAGGCAGTGCATCCTACAGATAGCAAAAAGTTACCGTCAGACAGATCTCTGCATTTCTCTATCTCCATTGCTACATTGGATATGAAAATCAAATAAAGAACAGTAACAAAACAGTAAAAGCAATAAAGGAGTGAAGAGGCTGGAACAAGACTCCTAAAAACACAAGGACTGAATTTGTGTCCAGGTGTTCTTTCTTTGCATTTCCCCACTGCCATCCTGCTGTTGCATGGTGCATGGCTATTTTTCTGTTGATGAAACTACTGAGGGAAAAAAAAATAATATGAAAAACAGTGCTGGATAGCTGCATATTACATGTGCATGAAAAATCTGTGCTGGCATGGCTCTGCGTAGTGTTTTGCAGGTGAGGTCATTACAACAGCAGACCACATCTTTTGTTTTTGACTCTTGGAAATACATCAAGCTTGGAATAGGGAAAGGGGAGAGAGGGAGACCTCATTTCTTTTCAGTGTAGTTCTTTCTCACCTCATATTTTTGATGCCACTCATGACCAGCCTGAAATCAAAGCCCATAACCTCACAGTATCACAGACAAAGCACCAGGTTAAGGATTCAGCACGGGGGATTTTCTGTGGTGGAAAGCCCAAAGCTGTTGGTGGGCCTTGCTGACAATTTCCTGTTTTTGAGTTTTTGATTAAAATTCAACATTCAAGACAGAATATTATACAACAACTTGGAAAACGTTTGACACAGGATATGCAAAGTGCATGCATGCGTCCTCATTTTATCCTATGAGTGATCAATCTGACTAACGATAGTAATTTTACATGTTTGCCCATATAATTTTATGGCCCGAATTACACGGATTTGTAGTTGTAAGCACATATTAAGGGATGCGGCACATCTTAGAGCATGAGACCATCGATCAGACAAAACAACCACCATTCCTATTACTTCTGCTCCTACAGACTGGGACAATGTTTCTGCAGAAGACTGCCATTGTCTGAGTTGGCTGGGAAGGGAAACCTGCACAGGCAGAACATGATAACTGAAGGTGTTATATCCATCCTCCTGGGCAAAGATTTTGTGTCATAGCCTGGATAAAAGATTCTTGAAGAACAGTCAGATCTCTATATCTGTATTTTATCTTCTGAACTATAGACTTTGACTGTTCTGCAGGTCCTCTTAGTGATTACACATATATCAAATCCTGATGAAAATGCCCTTAAAATTTGGGTTTGGGTCATTTACAAGGGGAAAACAGGTAAAAAAAAAAAATAAAATAAAAAAAAATGGATCCTACTTTGAACTTCCGTTGGTTAGAATGTTGTTTGGGTTCTGGGGCTTGGTTTTGGTCCATTTTAATAAACAGAGCTGACAAGCACAACCTGCTTAATTCATCATGCATCTGAAAATGGAATAAGGAAAAGGGCCGATCTATTTCTATTTCTTTAGAGGATGCAAGTCTGAAATTAAGAAGAATAAAATGTCTACAAGCTTACTTGAAAATATCAGAAGGTTCATCATCTTTCTTTAATCCATACCCAAAAGTGACCTAGACTCGGAGCAAATACAAAGCTTTGAAAGACGGTTTCAGAGTTTCTATGAGCTCATGACCCTTTGTGTAATCTGTATTATATGCGAAATTGTTTTGCAGTGAACTAGGAAACGATCACTATCCAGCATGTCACCAGGGACTCTTTCAAACTGTATAATTAGAATAATTTCACTTGTATTGGGCAGGGCAGGGATTCAAAAAGCCATTCAGAGGCAAAAGGGCAAGCAGCCAGACCAAGCTATGTGGAGCTGAGTTATGTACTTTGCATTTTATTACTCTTCCACGTAGAATCTGGCAGTCATGTATTCAGCAAATGCTGCTATTTGTTGTCTGTGAGCTCTACTGAAATAACACCAGTCTGCTCGAGTTCGATACAATTGAGCAAGGAATGGCTAGGAACAGTTTGCAGGAAACATAATACAGAAAGTTATGGTTTGGAAGCTGTGTGGCAGAGGCTCTCAGAACCTGAGACAGCTGGTACAAAGGGGCCCTGTCTAAGCTGTAATGACAGCACAGGAAAGCATGTAGACCCTGATTTCCCTCAAGTAAAAGTTGGAACGGAGTGATGCTGTGTCCAGGATATTCACAGGTTTTATTCCTGACAGATATTATTTCTATTTGTTAATGTTCATAGAGAGGACAATTTGAGTGCAAGGAAGAATACATTCTGTGCAGAATTATTGGAGACAAAGGTCCATGTTTTCATGAGATTTCCATAAGTTTCATGAATGGTTTTCTCCCATCACCTTCTCTGAGATGTCTCCTTTCCTCAGCAAAGTGTTCGCTCAGCCACACACCTCTCCCGCTCTGGGAATATTTTTCTTTTACTCATTACACAGAAGATCTGGAACCTTAGAGGAATGATATAAACACACATCAGCCCCTCAGGGATCACACTGACTGCCATGGTCACTGTTTGCTTTAGAATCACAGTCCCTTGCACATCGGACACCTGGAATCACAGAAGGAGTCTAGGATAAACAAAATCCTATTTTATACCTTATTTCTTTTTGTTACAAATATTTTAAATTGCCTGTCTACAACAAAATTTGGGTGGGAGAAGGCAACTGGTCCTTCTGAAACCTAGAAACCTTAGACCTTACTCTAACCTGTCTGACCTCAGACACCTTAGTGTAATCCCGGATCTTCCTGCTCTCAGCTTTACCAGCACGAAGGTGCCTGCTCCTGAATGTTTTGTTTGTGTTTGTGGTTAGCTTTCGTCCACCTTTCTTGATTCTAGAAGCCCTTGAGGTTTTGTCTTCACTGCTGAATTACCTGAGATAAACAGGCCACAAACAGAGGAGGCAGAGAGCATCAGACCTCATCCAAAAGGTGAAAACACAGGAGATGCTACCAAATTACCAAATCCACCACATTTGCAAGTTCAGAAGTGACTTTGGCACACAGGATCTGAACTTCTCGTAAGAAAGCAGTCTTCTTAGTTTCAAAGTTTTTTTTATTTTTTTATTTTTTTTTATTTTTTTAAATAAATACTTCCACATTTAAAAAACACAGCTCCTAACACTGCCGTATATTCCTCTCTCCTCCATGAAAATCCACTATGTTCCTGACTTGATGTTTTGTCTGGCACCAGATGAACTTCTTGGTAAGAGCAGAAAACTGTTACATTTCATCCCGAATACCTGAACCTGAGACTCCCTTTAAAATCCTCCTTGTATGCAGTATTTTTCTCCATTTAAATCAGTAGCCTGGGCAGCAGGGCAGGGGCTGCTCTGGGTGACGCTGGGGATTTAGCTTTCCATTTAATTCACTTTTTATTTTCCTGAGTGCAGAGGGGACCCTCATCCCTGTGATTTCTCCTAAGCCTTTCCGTGATGTCTCCTCCTGTGGCAGCCTGGGACAATGCAAGGTGCAAGCCCCGGCCCCGAGCAGCCAGGCCGGCAGGCTCTTGGTGTCTCGGTCCCTCGCTCACTACAAAGGAAGGGCAGCAACAATGAGTTTGCAAGAGCGTGTTCTGAGATAATTGGTCTTGCAGAAGTGCTTTGAAGAGGATCGGCATTATATAAATGCCATCTGACAGTCGAGTCAAAAGACTCCTGCTAAGAACAAATTAAAACCACTTAACCTAGCGAGAAGTTACTCCTTCCATTATGATAGCTGCTCTGCTCTGATAAAAGCAAGAATTCAAACAAGTTAATGATTTCATCTCCTTGGCATGGAGATTACAGCACAGCTGCACAGCTGAGATGTCACAATAAAAGCAAATGCTTACGAAAGGTTGTTCTTTATGTTTCTGGCTTGTAAATGTAAACTGCCTGTGCTATCCATACATGCCAGGAATGTCAACAGTGGCTCGAGACTGCATCTCTCGCCTCTGAACCAGGACAATACGAAATTGTAAGTGATAAATTCTCTCCATTTTCTGAGCTCAGAGCAGCAAAAGAACTAGTATTTGGACAGAGAAACCTTTTATGTTGGCTTGGGCAAGATATAAGCATAGAAGAAAAACTTACCCTGCCAGAAGAGCAGAACAGGTGAACTGCATTAGCTTGCCCCTCTCTCCTGTTGCAAAGATGTAGAATAGGGTGAGTTTTCTTCCTCCACTCCTCTCATATGGACTGCAGAAAAAATAAATAATTCTAATTGGAAGTAGTAGTTTGCAGGGCTGTCCTTTGCAGTGCTATTTGCTTTAAAGCACTTTCAGTGTAGGAAGCTGACAAATGACCACGTTTCCTGGAAGACAAACCCTTTTGAAACATTTAGAGGGTACGAGTGCAGCTGTGCTTCATACATTTGTGCTTTGTGCATTTGTTAGGAGCGCAAGTGGAAGTTTGTCTTGCATTGCATGTCACTTGTGCTGTTGGAGCGCTGGCACAGGAATTCCCTGTGACATGTAAGGGAATGCATTGAAAGAAAAGAATTGACAAAAAGCAGGGAAAATGAAGAATCTGGGGGTGGTTTCAAGTTTCCAGAGATGAGATGGGAATTTTTCTTTGGTGGACTATCTTGTAACAGCTAAGTATGACTTTTTCCCACCTTTTCTGAAGCAGCTTCTTGGTTAGTCTTTGTTCCAGAATTTAGACCATTACTCACCCCTATGTCCCTTTACCCAGCCATCATCTTTGCAGTCTGTAGGCATCTTTTCTCATGTTTCCACTGCCCGTGGTGTTACAGAGCTGTATTGGACATGCAGGAGCCCAGCCTGCTCCAAGGTTTGCAGGAGGGCTGCCTTTGTGATATCTAGGTGATGTATTTGTCTGGAACTCCAATTTGTGTCTTGATTTTCTTTAAAATGCTAGATTTTGGGAAAGGGAGACAGGAGAAGGGAACACTTAGCTGACCTGAAAAATATTACCACCAATTTGTAATATGAACCTGAAGCCTGTAAAATGGTGACAAGTATGTGAAATTGTAAGATTCTGGCTGACATTTCAGAGTACAAATATCCACAGCTTCATCCAGATTGCAAAATATTAATGATTTCAAATGGAAAAATCTAATGGTCCAAACACTGGTTTTTCTTTTTCTATTTTAGGGACACCTAAAATATTTTTTTTGTTGTTTTCTAAGAGAAACTAAGCATATTCTGGAAGTGAAATGACTTAAGTTTAAACATGCCAAGTATTAGAAAAACAAAAAACCCAAAACCCCAAGCTTCAACTTAATACACACACTGCCAATTTTAAGATAACACTGATCAATATTCTTCTCAGGTTGAAACTGCCTTTTTTAAACAAAACAAACTACAAATATGATTGAAAATGCTCAAAATCATAAGACTTTGATACTTTCCTGGCACTTTGGATTATTAACCAGTGTTGAGTGGCTTATCATTTATGCTTTTTGCTTAGTTTTTCTCATTTTCACCTTCTGGTTACTGAGAAAATTCCAGAACAGCAAGGTTGGGTTTGACACCACCAAATGACATCAAAGTAACTCCCGAGAGCAACTTTCTTGGATTTCTTTAAGAAAATTACTAACTTCATTATTTGTCCAGACACATATGGATGGATCTATGTTCCCCTTTCTGCTATTTAATATTCCTTCTATACCTCCACACAGATACTAGAATTTCTGTAGACTTTTCGGGAGTTTCGTTTTTTAAGCAGGCAGCATGCCAGCCTCATGGTCAGGTGCAGTAATCCAAGGAGTGCGTAATTTTCAATTGCACGCTCACAAATTAAACTGCAGCTGCTGCCCACAGTTAACCTGATCTGCTCCATGAGACATCATTAAGGAAAATCAATTAATTTTTCCATTCTCCCAAATGGTGCTGAAGCTGAATAGGAGGAGAAGGAAGAGAAAAGGGGGGAAAAATAGAGGACTTCTATGTCTATTGTATTGGAAAGATAAAACCGGTGGTATTGAGTAGCCAGGTTAATGCAGGTCAGTTACAGCTAGAAAGAAAGGAGATACAAGTAGTTTGTATTCAATTTTATAAATGAAAACGAGAGCTAGTCAACCATGAAACAAACCTGCTTGGTACTCAAGCACGGCTTCCTTACTTTTTCACCAGATACTTTTTCCATGTACTTCTGCTTTATAATCCTGGGTTGAGATTAGTTAAAGGTGAATAGAAAATCTCATATTAAGGGAAAGCCTGCCCTGAAAAACTTGATGCTGGCTTCAAACTCCACAAGGTTCAGGGATTTGTTATAATTCATTAAAAATTAACCATAAAATAAGTCTTTGGAAAATGGGATATGTTACAGTAGGATTATTATTTTATTTTTTTTTAAATCTCATCATGGGCCAGACATGGAATAAAGACAAAGATGACACTTAATTGAAACTCATTGCACAGGGCAAAAGATGGGCTTCTGAAGTAAAATCCATTAGGGTGGCTTTTATGAAATGAAATGCAGCTGAGTGCAATCCAGGTTTTAATGGAAATTAAAAATATCATTTTTTAAGGGATAGATATTTCAATTTGGGTATATTAATTTTTAGAAATGTAGATGATATTCACTAGAAAAAAAAAAGTTTTATTTGCTATAGAAGTTTAAATGCTCAAGTCAAAACATTATTTTTGCAAATTCTTGTCTGAAGATGACTTGCTTTGATGGTAATCAGAAATGAATATTCAAGAAATAACCTGGCCAGAGATGATTAATTCCCTTCAAACATTCATACTGAAGTTTAATGAACTAGATATTTGTTATAATTATGTTTTCTGAAGGAAACTCTAGCTAAAAGCAAAACTAAACCCAAATAATTTTAGTAGAAAATAACCTTAACACATATATTCTTTATTCCTAAAAAACATGAACTGTAACCATTAATGAGATGTAATTACATACATTTTTTTTAATTATAAACTGTATAAATAAATGTCTTTTCACTAGAACCCAGCAATTCATGAAATGTTTCAAGCATCAATCTATGCATATAGCATTTTCTCCTGAATCATGGGTAAAACTTACCAAAAGATTTCAAAATGTGAATTTTGTTATGAAATGAAGGATCAGAGCAGAGTGTGGGAAAACCCTCCTTCTGTTTCACATCCAAACAAAAGCAAACTCCATGTTTTGAGGAGAGACCTCAGCAGGAACAAGCTATTTAGTAAGAGTTCATTATCAACCATACCAGATGCCATAACAGACCTGAGTGATCACATCACTAAGCAATTAACTAAGTAATCAATCAATTAATTATAAGGGAAAGTTACTCTTGTAACATAAATCAGTTCAGAAGCTCAAGTTTCAGAAATAAAGTATTTACTAAAAGAACTAAAGAAACAGAGCCACCACTATTCGCAAGAGAGGTTCTGTTATTCTTAATTAACATTTCTGAGCATGGGTAGCACTCAAATGACCAAAGACCAAATCATCAGCTGGTGTGAATGAGCACAGTGCTGGTAAAGGTGAGGATCAGTGCTCCTTAGGACGGTTGATAGCCTGGGTCTAGATTTCAGCAATTAACAGAATAGCTCCAGAACAGGCAAAGTTTTCATTACTTTTTAATAAAAGACATTCAAGCAGAGTTTTCTTTCCCACCACAATTTTTACGTAGTCCTTTTTCTTCTGGGATCTCAGCATCACTGAGATTGACTGCACTCCATGAGGAGGGGATCTGAACTTCACTTCTACTATTGAAATATCATGCCTCTTTTTGTATTTATCCATCATCTGTAAAGTGGGTAACATGACCTGTGCCTATCATTTCTAGCTAAGGTATAGGCTCTGGGGGGAAGTACAGTGTCCTGCTGAATATACAGAGATCTTAGTTGTGACATGGATTTACTGAAAAACAAACAAAAATAACAGCAACAACAACCCTCTGCATAATGTGTGTGCTCTTCTTTGCCTATCTGTGTGCTTATTTGCTTACATAAAAGATTAAGAGACCTGGGATATGAGTAATGTTTTTTTTTTTTTTATGCAAAAGAAAACTAATATGTTTGGTTCCTTTGAATATAATAAAAACATAAATGTAAATATATATATAAATATTTCTGTCACGGGATGGAAAATCAGACTTTCCTGGAAAAGCAGAATAGAAGAATTTGGATGATTTACTTCCAGAGAACCATAATGGAGAGGGGAAAAAGACTTCCAATGGCTTCTCTGGGTCTGACACAAAGCTGCTACTTTTCATATTGACATCAAAGCTTTGATTTAGGCAACAGGAAAGCCAGGGATCCTGACTGCACTGTTACCACAGCTCTGAGAGCACAAAGAGATATCTCATTGTGTTGCTTGGATATAAAGGTATTTATTAGGAGTTCATTAACTGTTCATTCAATTAAATGAAAAATACATCTTGGAAAATCTAATAAACTGCTAAGAGTGGACAGCAAATAAATGATAGTGTTTGCTAGTATCATAGTTTATGTTGGAAATACACTCAGACTAGAAAATATGGTCATTAAATACTCTTTTTCCTTAACAAGTAGTGCTAAAGCATTACTAAACCTAATATTTGTACACCAAGTTTTAATGCATCATTCTTATTGACAAGTCCAAGAGTTGACTTTCCACTCAGTTTCCCAAGCTGGAGTTTGACATATTAGTAAATGCCATCTGCAGCACAGAGTCTTCAGGGACTTGAAGAGTTCGCTAAGCTTTCAGTAAACTAACAGCAAACTAAAAACCTTGGATGTGTGTCCAGCAATGTAGCATGCTTTGCAAAGTACGGCCCTAAAGTTTCCTGCTTTAGGGGATGCAGAAAAAGGGGTGAGAGAGAAAATTAATAACAGTTCCCTACCACGTTTTGAAGTACAGCCTGTATGTGTATATGTGTATATATATATATATATACACATACATCATGTACATGTGAAAACTGTCACACAAAAGGCAAAAAGCACACATCTCTAACTGCGGCCCTGTCCCAAGCCCCTCACCCAAAGCCTCATGATATTAAAATTTATTTCCTCTCCTCTTCTCTCCTTCTCTTCTTCCCTTCTTTCCCTCTTTCTCTTTTTTATTTTTTTTTTTTTATTTTAAAGGGAAAATTAGTGTATTATTTTAACTTGAGAGGAAAAATAATGAAAAATTGTCTGAAACCTGCACTCCAGCACATACAATTTTGGTTCAAACAATTAACATTTTTCAGTGTTCTATGTAACCCAAACCAGGAGCTTATAAAAAGGAAATGAGGACAAAACTAATAATAGTACTAACAGGACACTTATAAAGTGAATTTATTACCCTTACTATCAACCAAAAGGAATGTTGAGAGACAGACTGGGAAATTTTTGATTAATTTATAGGTGGACCACTAAATTTATAGGTACTTACAATCATGTAGAAATAAATGGCATCAGTCACAGAATAAATCCTATTTACTACTGTTTCCAGGTTGCCCTATCAAAGCAGAGCTGAACATCATGCATTTCCTGGCAACTAATGGACTTGGGCAACCAATTCCTTTTGGCAAATTAAGAGTAGAATCTGAAGAAATGCCCGATTTCTTAAACACAATTGCATAACTGGAGGACCATACACGGGGTGTGCCTTTCCAACTGTTGTGATTCACATATAATGCAGTCACACACAGATTTTGTGTTTTCATGCCATGTTGAAATGGATGCTGGGAAATCTAAACTTTTTCCATTTTGCAACACAACTACTTCAGTTTTGTGACTAGTGAGAGCTCCCATGTGAACAGAACAAAGACAGGAGATAAGGAAACAACAGAGAAAAAGGAAATCAATATCATTTCTGGTCTATGAAAATATGTCTCAAGGAATTGAGGCCCTAAACATATCTTATGCTGTATTTTCAGGGACAGCTATGTAGGCATCTGTGTGATGTAATGTTGAACATCTAAGAGTTGGGCATCATGGCTGAGGTGGAACCCCAGGCTCCCTGTGGAGTGATCTGGGAAAGAAAGGGGTGATTCATTCAGGCTGGTGGGATGAATCACCTCTGAAGATGCCTTTTAACTCTCAAGTAACCAAAGAGGCTGCCTGGATGATTAGTTCAGACCAGATATCCAAATATTTGGCTAATAAATGGCTAAGGTAAAGGAAGAATTCTCTGTATTCTCCATCACTCTACAAGGCTTGTTTTAAGGTATATCAGAGTATGCTGCTTTCACTAGAATAATGTTCAACAAGCTGCTAGATCATGATTTTGGCTGCCTTCCTCTTAGTAATCATTTGTCTTGAGGCTTGGGAGGTGCCACAACTCCTCAGGGTCATGAGAAAAGTATTTTCTGCTACAGGTAACCACAATAATATGAAATCAAGGGTTTAGCAGATTGAGGGTAACAATGAAGTTCTAATTCCCTTTCCAGGAAGAGGAAAAAATGATAAGCAGTGTCACTAGTCTTGTGACGGGAGAGGAGCTTTAATTCCTTAATATGCCAAGATTATATTTATATTGAGTAATGCTTTAAGTTTCCTAGGAAAAGAAGAAGAAATTCAGGCTAGCAATTTGTTCTGAAATGGCAGAGCTGTGACCTTTTCACAGACGGGACAATCCAAATTCAGATCAAGAAAGAAAACTGAAGCCGAGGAGCACTGATGTTATGTCCAGAGAGATTCAGGAGCTGGTCTGCTAGAACAGCTTCATGGGAGTGTGGACAACAGTTTTAGATAAATAAAGATTGTTATCCAGGCAAAGGGTAAGACAGCATTGGTCTGGCATTACAAGATTAAGAGCACACAAAAAAATCAGCCATTCTAAGCCCAGAATCCTAAATGGGAGACGAACGGCCTGGGAAGGAGTAGAGCTAAATAAAGAGCCCCATGGAGGGAGGGATGCCAGGACAGAAAATTCCCTCCTTCTGAATCTCCTTTGAACCAGTGTGGTTTTGTGCACCTGTGGCTTATCAGCAAGGCATTTGCATTTTGCAAAGCTGGCTCGGGCTCTGTTTCCATGAGAGCTTGCTGGATCTTCTCCCGGTTTTACAGAGCCCTGGAGTATGTGTTCTTGTAATCGTGTTTGATCATATGTTTGACTGCTAACACTGGTGAGTTTTAACACTTCCAACAGGAAGATTCATCAGCACAGACCTGATCAGTGACAAACCTGCTCTTCTGACAGCAGTAAAAAATACCTATTAAGATGGCTTTACATGGATATGAGCAAAAGTATATAAAAGCAGATGTCAGTTATTTAATTGGCTTAGTCTTTTGTTCTCTGCTGAGTCAGACAAAAAGCTCAGAGATCTGTCATTATGCAGCTTTTCTTATCTATGAAGTCTGAATCTATTATACTGAGGTAGCATGTTTTTAATCCACTCTGCTCAGTATGACCTCATGGCTGTGAGATTGCATTGTCGTATATAAACACTTAATTGTGTGGGCTTCATGTGGACACTAGGGGATTAAACATGATGGGTTCGAACGTGAGATAGCTAAATGTAGAATATTGGCATCATATTTTAATTTGTTTCTAGGGAGAGGACACAATACAATATGTATTTGGTGTCAAGCAATTCACATTTTATCTAGTACTAAACGTAAACCACACAGAGGCAATGGAGTTCTTTGTGGTTTGTTAGTGTTATAACAGGAATATAAGATCTGCAGAGGTGCAACAGTTCACATTGCAGATTTACTTTTCTCAGTTGATCAGTTGAACAAGCTAGGTTTTATTTTGCTAGTCTTTCTCCTAAAAGATATGACTTAGAAGTTCTCTACTTTTATTTTTATTTATTTATTTATTTATTTATTTAACTTTCCTGAAATGGGGTAAGAGATGATATAGCTGAAATGATACTATGGTGACATAACAAAGAACAGTAAAGGTCAGACCGGATTAATTTGCTACAGGATCAGCTGGAGAATATTAAACCTCTTAACTGTAATCCTTTGATAACCAGTCCTATAATGTAATCATCAGTGTACATCCAATAACATCCATGTTAATTACTTTAGAATTATATGTTTCATTTTTAATCAAAAGACAAATTTTAAAGGATGCCAGCACCCTCCCCCACATCCCAACAGTTAAAATAACTCTTTTCAAATAAAAAGAGACTATTTTTATGAGGCGGCTGGGGAAAAGTCAGCCTGGAAAATATCCTTATGAAGGAAGCATCTGTCACAAGTCAAAATGTTATCACTGGTCCCTGGGGAGATCCAGTACAAACAGAAGTGAAATACTCGGTGCTGAGGTTTGACAGG